GATCAATTTGACCCTAATGACAGAGGACAAATGTGGGCCACAGTTAGCAAAATAGTGGCATAGTCATTTAAGGGTAATCTAGGTCTAAACCTAAAGTGGCTCACATGTGTAGGTGAAAATGTGGCCCAGTTATCTTAAGACAGGCACAGTAAGCCAACAATCCATTCAGTATATGGTCCAGATGTAAGTGTCGGGTGTAGGCCACATCTGGGCCAGAATAAAAGCAAACTGTGGCCCAGAATAGGGTCAGTTCTGGTTCATTTGGTTGAATTCTGGCTCATATGTGATATTGCTATGGCTTAATAGTGGCCCAGATCTGACATGTGTATGCTAATGCAAATGTATCACTTTTAAATTCGTTTACGCTTCATAATTCTTCTGTGTCTCGTTTCTCCATTCAGAGATCTCACTGGGAATCGACTGAGTAATTTGCCAATGACTGGACTGACAAGTCTTACTCATCTCAAACTGAAAGGCAACATGGCACTGTCACGTTCCTTCGGATTGGAGGACTTCCCCAACATAAGGTACATTTTAATGACATCCAATAACCCCAAAAGGATTAAAAACACTTACACTTTAAAGCATGTTTTTTTTACCAGCGTTTGTGGTTATTACATCCCACAACACAAATGGCTTGAATAGCAGAAACACATAAAAGTTTTAGTCCATTTTCAAAGAATCATCAACTGTTTATAGATTTGACAGTTTCAAGATAGTAACAATGTGTGACCTAGAGAACATTCTGTTCATTGCTACAAGTAAATGGTTTCTGTTTGTTACGTTTCCTAGAATATCTGGCTTGATTCAAGTCCTCTGACAGGCGGAAAGATTTTTTTAAGATACCTCAATAATCACAAGAGGGTTAGTTATAAATATCCTGTCCCGCTTCATCAACAGCTCAGGGCATTGGAAAACCTCCAAGACTTCAGCCTTAAATGCTATCTTGATTTGATTAGCACCTCAAGAAATGGGAGAGTTCAAGTGTTGCCATTTCCAAAAGCAACTGATTAAAAAGAAAGAGAAATCATGGTTTCACCCGTGACCCAAATCCATTTAAAATAGTCCCTGTGGTTGGATTTATTGCTAGTTTATTTAATGCGTCATTTGCAGATTGATGAATCATTCTTTCTTTGATTTTTTTTTTCCTTCGAAATGTGATCTTTTATAGCTTTCATATTTCCTCAAACTGATGCAATATGTCCTTATTTTTAATGTTCAAACTCTATTTGGCCCATTCAAATACGTGGTAAAACTAAGTTTGATGGAACATATGAGATTTTTCATTTTGTGCTTTATTCTCAATAATGTTCAAACAGGGTCATCGAGATGCCATATGCCTATCAGTGCTGTGTTTTTGGAGGCTGTAGCAGTTACAGATCTGCCAGCCAGTGGGAAGAACAGATGGGCAGTGAAGAGGAAGATTTCCAGAAGAAATCTCCGTCCCTGTTCCCCATTCACACTGACAACAACTGTAAGTCCTACAACTTAACCATGCAGCCCTTCTTACTGGGAGTAACGATATCCAACCCTCAAAACTGAACCCCCGCACCCATATCTACCACCCTCGAAGGTATCACCTGTCCATCTACTGACAGACTCCATCAGTTAAAGTTTTAGTCTAGGAATTGATCAATGCAATATTTTCCCTAACACCAGTTTTAATATACAAGTATCACACATATTTGGCACAATTGCCTCACAGCAAGAAGGTCGCTGGTTTGAGCCTCGACTGGGTCAGTTGGCATTTCTGTGTGAAGCTTGCATGTTCTCCCCATGTTCGTGTGGGTTTCCACCTGGTGTTGCAGTTTCCCCCACAGTCCAAAGACATGCGTTATAGGGGAATTGGGTAAGCTAAATTGTCCATAGTGTATGTGTGTAAATGAGAGTGTATCAGTGTTTACCGGTGATGGGTTGCAGCTGGAAGGGCATCCGCTGCATAAAACATATGCTGGATAAGTTGACGGTTCACTCATACACACTCATTCATGCACAGTTATACACTTCAGCCAATTTAGTTGACGCAGTTCACTTATACTGCATGTTTTTGGATTGTGGGGAACACCGAAGCACCCAAAGGAAACCCATGCAAACTCCACACAGAAATGCCAACTGGTCAGCCAGGACTCGAACCAGCAATCGAGCAATATCGAATGAGTAGCAGTGCGATGTGGCAATCTAACTACATTGTGACTACAAAAGCCTCAAAAGTATGTTATGTTGTCCAACAGCAGCAATATTTGTCAAACTATAGTGTCTTCTGCTTGTCGCTGTATGTGGGTGGAGTAATACACAAGGGTGAAGTGTTAAGAGGCTGGACGAGAGCTGTTATTTGCAAAATATCACACGGTTTTCAGCCAATGGGACTTACCTATATATATATATATATTCCCCATTCACACTGACAACAACTGTGAGTCCTACGACCTAACCATGCAGCCCTTCTTACTAGGAGAGTAACGATATCCAACTCTCAAAACTGAACCCCCGCACCCATATCTATCACCTTAGAAGGTATCACCTGTCCATCTACTGACAGATTCCATCAGTTAAAGTTTTAGTCTAGGAATTGATCAATGCAATATTTCCCCTAATACCAGTTTTAATTTACAAGTATCACACATATTTGGCACAATTGCCTCACAGCAAGAAGGCCGCTGGTTTGAGCCTCGACTGGGTCAGTTGGCATTTCTGTGTGAAGCTTGCATGTTCTCCCCATGTTCGTGTGGGTTTCCACCTGGTGTTGCAGTTTCCCCCACAGTCCAAAGACATGCGTTATAGGGGAATTGGGTAAGCTAAATTGTCCATAGTGTATGTGTGTAAATGAGAGTGTATCAGTGTTTGCCGGTGATGGGTTGCAGCTGGAAGGGCATCCGCTGCGTAAAACATATGCTGGATAAGTTGACGGTTCACTCAAACACACTCATTCATGCACAGTTATACACTTCAGCCAATTTAGTTGACGCAGTTCACTTATACTGCATGTTTTTGGATTGTGGGGAACACCGAAGCACCCGAAGGAAACCCATGCAAACTCCACACAGAAATGCCAACTGGTCAGCCAGCCATCGAGCAATATCGAATGAGTAGCAGTGCGATGTGGCAATCTAACTACATTGTGACTACAAAAGCCTCAAAAGTATGTTATGTTGTCCAACAGCAGCAATATTTGTCAAACTATAGTGTCCTCTGCTTGTCGCTGTATGTGGGTGGAGTAATACACAAGGGTGAAGTGTTAAGAGGCTGGACGAGTGCTGTTATTTACAAAATATCACACGGTTTTCAGCCAATCAGACTCACCTATATATATATATATATATATATATATATATATACATACATACACACACACACACACACACACATATATATATATATATATA